TTTTAAAATAGATTTCCCTGAATGATTTTGTTGCTTGCTGCTTCTGACTGCCATGGACCTTTATCATGCTGCCACCATTTCAGTCATGTTCCCTGTATCCAATAACAGAACTGAATGATAATGTTTTTGTGCAAAAAGGAACCAGACTTTGATTTCTTCCAGCCTCGCTTTGGTTACGTTGAATTGAATGGGGGAAAATCAAGATGGCCGCAACATGATAATGGTCTATAGAGAGCTCTACATTTCTAAGGTTTCCCACAGAAATTCTAAAATGAAAGTCCACGACTTTTCAATGACTTTGTCAAGACAAAATTGGCGTTTTCCATGACCAATTCCTACGCTGTTTTGGCATCTGAGGGTCCTACCGGTATTTATAATACACAGGGATTTGATGTTTGCTCCTTTGCTCCGATATCAACACGTCACCCCACTTTTGTTATTAAGAAAATCATTTCATAAATTGCAACAAGTGAAATCAAAACAGCCCAAGACCACACAGGTGCATTTGGTGTTATTCTACAATAATGAACGTCCACATTCCTCCGGCACCAAAACACAATTGTAGAGTGCGAACTAGTACGAACGTCCTACCATTAGTAAGTACAGCCCATGGGCTAAGCAGTGATAATACACACAAGTGCAGAGCACTGCTTCCGTAGGGTGTTTTTGAAGCATAGGCTTCATCCCCAGATTCGCCTACATCGATTTCACAAAACAGTGTGCAACTTGCGCCATGCGTAGAATGTACGCAACAAATTAATTGTTGCGCATATGAGCAATAAACTGTCGCAGCTGTGCAATGTTTTAAATAATTTAATGCATTGAACGAGAATTAGGTAATGGCTTTTCCGATGGCTATTTGTGTATTTTTTTCTGTTCAGTCATAAAATGGTCGTTTTGAATCGACTCCGCCTGCCATTTTGAAAACAGTTTTGTCCGACTTACTGCAGAATCGTGCAGCAACTCTAAAAAATGCTGTCACAGGTAAAACAGCAATACATTTACTTTAAAAACAAAGAGGACACTATGGTGACCCAGCACAAACCTTGGTGGATTACATGAGTACACCACGGACCATGACTCAATCCAATGTTATTCAAAGCTGCAATAACTAGATGTTGTTCAGTCTTGAGAATTTGCCCTCTTGGATATCTCTTGAGCGACTCTTTCATTTCCCTTTAATACCTATCTTATCAAGAAACTATCCCTCTTCAGTCTTCAATTCACCAGACTGCAGTAGTGACGCTTTACAAAGGAATTCAATTTCCACGGCCAATCCTTTAGGAATTTCTTCATTACATTTTTGATTAGGAAATGTCAGCAAAGGGCCAACGTGTATATGTACAGCTGTGCAGGTATGAAAATAAAAACGTGTTCAGCTTCTATCCACGTCTTCATTTTTCTGTTTAAAGGAGAATTGTTAGTAATAATAATTTTCTTTGTAATTTTGTTATCAGAGAAGTTTGGATGATGAAAACTTTTCCTTCTTCAAAACAAATTTGTCAAGATTTAAATTTTGAAATGTACAAACACAGAAATGAAATGTGTCACATGGAGGCAATAGTTACTTTAATGTGGATTGATGAAAGAAGAAGAAAATATAACAGAGTTTACGGGATCAATTACGGTGGAATGGATCATGGGTGGACTTGCTTAACTTCATTTACTAATAATTGCTGACCTTTCTAAACTATCAGGTTCAAACTTCCTGCTGCCAATGCGACGCCACTGGATTTTAGAAAGCGTGGTCCGTGGCTATTTAATTGGTTGGAGGATACCAAGTAACAAATCAAATTTCATCACCATTTCGCTACACAAAATATTGAGGAAGGTTTAGTAGCCTTACGTGTAACTCCCAAATGAGTTTTACTGAGAACAGTACCAAGTCTGCCAAAATCCATCACTGACTCTGCTTCACATAATGCTTCAGGACCAAATCCACCACTGCTATAGGTGGATTTTGATGGACTTGGTACTCATGGCTTGCCTGCCAATATCCCCCAAAATTAGGGGATGGATTTTGATGGAGTTGGGATTGTTAGGGATACTGTATTTTTTTTCTCAGTTTTTGATACCAACATTACATTTGTGCCATATTCGCGGCCCACCCCATGCAGCTATGCCTTACATTGATCCCCAAATGCCTGACCGACACTGATGTTACCCACTGGTATTAGTTTGCCTATTTCTCCCCTTCCTGTTTACCACCACTGACTATAACCTCCAGGGGGATCAGATATTACGCCATTCTGCGAACCAACGGAACTACCGTCACCCTCACAAACTCCCTCCCTGGTATTGAAGTACAGCAGCCCCCTACGTGAAACTGGCACTCCCTAGAGTCTTTCTCCGTTCCCCGGAGCCAACTATCTTATTTCCCTGAATGTGCAGTTGCTAGGCAACGGTGGATTAGCCACGCTACAATCCCATTTGCCCTATTTGGTGAATTATTATTATGTTTTGCTGACGGCAGAGCCAGAAGTGTGGCACCAAGCACTTGTGTGTTAACGAACGCTTCGATTATTTTTGTTGTTTTTTCTGGGCATTTCATAGGGCACCTAACACTTAACAGAAAAAAAAATCAAACACAGGAAATTTAGCCATGGCTAAGTAACAGGTAAACGTGACAACTGATATCACCGCTCACTTAGAGGAATAAGGGAAAAACAAGGGTAAAGGGTGAACGTGATCGATGCTAAATACGGTTTGTTCTGTTTGCCTGATCACAAAGAAGTGGCACCAAAAGAAGTGGCACCAAACAAATGGACCGACTCTGTTCTTCAAAGACCATTTCTTTTTTCCTTTTTTTTTTGGGGGGGGGGGGGTTTGCTGGTAAATATTACATCATTTTTTTTAACTGTTGGTAGTTTAAATCATACATTTAAAGTCTCAACAGCGCTGTGGTCCAATGGTTACGGTGTTCCACTCATATGCCATGGTATGTGGTTTCCAAACCTGATGGGGTGCTCGTGTTCTTGGGCAAGACACTTTACTACAATTGCCTCTCTCTATCCAGGAATATACATGGGTACCTGTGAAGGCAGAGACCAGATTGCGCTGATCTCGAGCTGCTGCAGAAACTGGTCTAACGGCCCCATGAACAGGGATATTGTGAAGCGCTTTGAGACCTTTGGTATAAAGTGCTATAGAAGCATCAAGTTATTATTACTAAAAGCATGAAAATCACTGTAAAACAAAAAAGCCAAAACATTTCCGAATTGTGTAATGCTGTATCCAAAGAATAACATTAGATATCAATATTACCATATAGCATTGTACAGCATGATGGCCTTATGTGCATCGGGACAGTAAATCATAAACGTACATGGTTTCCAGTACAAGGTGTTTGCCTTCCGTGTTAAATTCCATACTTCCATTTCCAACGCCCCAATTCACTCGTGGAAAGTTAAATGGATCATTAATTCTGCTCGGATTTCCCTAAAGATGAGCATAATATGGGTAAGGCATACAGTACACTGTCAGATTCATGTAATTGGCATACGTGTATCTGAAGGTACGTGTATACATGTTAAAAACAAGGGTGACAAATTGACAGATGAACAATATGAGCATGACAGGCATTAAGTTGTACTTCAATACAGCTAGACACGTTTGGCACGTTTTTCCTGTGCCTTTTTCCCAGGGATTAGTCACCCGAGGGGCAGTCACCCCTTTTTGCAGTGAATGGCCGCTTTGAAGTGGATCGATAAATACTGCTTTGGACGCACTTGACAATGTTCCACATCATCGGCACTTGGGAATACGATATTAATTTCAAAACTGTCAAAGCTGACTGTTGAATTGGAACAAACTTGGGAATTGGGAAAACTTGGCTGAGCATCGGTTGAAGCTGGGAGTGGCGACCTACTTCACAGTACTGACATGAACAGTTTACACGTGTGCTTTCATTCTACAAACTTCTCATTCAAGCTACATGAGCCTTTGAGGAATTCATCCGCTGTTGCAATGATTGTCAATTGCAATAGGCACTCAGTCTTTTCAGAGCTTGTGCTGCTGAGCTTCCTATCAGCATAAGTACTTTTGAGTGTACCGTACATCCACAAACTCCGTGATTTCCAAGGTGTTGGGTATGTAGGTTAATTGAAACCTATGGTTTGGAACCTTGGAACCAGACTCAAACGTTATCAGTCTGCTAAATCACCAAGGAAGAAATCACCAAGGAAGAAATCAATTTTGTCTGAAATTCGACAAGTTCTCTAGACGATGTAAAAATGTATTGCATTAACTGCACTATAAGTCACAGGGTTATCTAAGAACTTCTCTGCTCACCTTCACAGAGCAGCATCACACACACACACTGAATCCAGTGCTTAGGAGAGGCATGAAATTGGGCCAAGGGCTGTTAGGCAAATAAATTTGCTAACCGCGGAAACATATATGCTTAGCAAAAACAGAATACCAACCAAAATGTCATGCACTGTTTATTGTCTGTGACTGGTTCTCCGCTGATTTTTGCTTAGCGCATAAAGCTGCTAAACAATATTATCTGCTCAGCAGCTCCACGAAGTTGGGGCTGGTCTGCGAGAATTAAGGCAGCCACAAGGGGAACTTTAAGGGCGGTTCATACCCGGTACATCACGCAAACAGGAGGCAAATGTGACATCACGAAACAGTCACTGTGAAATTTGCCCGAGTTGAAATGTGTTCAACTTTTGCGAATTTGCAGCACAACCACTTGCCTTAACGTCACAAATTTCGCTTTCGCTTTATTTCACGTGAGTTTGAAAGTGAAGCAATATTGACGTCAGGAAATATTCGCTGTGAAATTGACTGGAATTGAAGTGTATTGAACTTTTGTGAATTTGCAGCGCAATGACTTGCTGTGACATCACAATTTTGCATTCACGTTCGTTTTCGGGATGAGTAGGAACTGGCCTTGAGACATAACAGTGTGACAACTTGTTTCAACAGCATGCCAATACGACAAAGAGACCAACAGACAGACAAAACAACTCTTTAAAACACCAGCTAACACTCACCCAGAGTTGATCCAGGCTTTCTCCCGGTAGTTGTTGGGCTTGATCAGCCCCTCCCGCGCCTCCTTGCTTGGGGTTTGCGGACTGTTCAGCAACGACATGTTCAAGTTCTCAAAGCTGTCGCTGAAGTTGGACCCTGAGCTGTGGATGGAGAAGAGGGTGGTGTTGCCATTGTGGCCCGGCGTGGAGTTGACTGACCGGTTGAACCCCGGGGAGGGCCTGCGGGTCGGGGTGTGTGGGGGGATGCCGTCCAGGCTCCCCGTGGACGCCGCCTCATTGCTGTTGCTGGACGCCATCGAGTCTCGGTCCCGGTCTTTCTTCTTCCGGCCATTGCTTCGCTGCTTAACGTTTAAGGCACGGGCATTTGGTTTCTTGAGGAAGGAGAGTTCTTCTGGATGTCGGATGCCTAAAAGCATTGTTACAAATTGGCATACATTTTTTTGTAATACAACCGACAACAATTTCATTATGAAAGAAGAGCCAAAGTCTGTTAGAGACTGAAAGGACTGAGTGATTGGATTCTAACCAGCTTCGGCCCTCCAGCAAACATAAGACACCTCCAGTACAAAGTGCTAGTTCTGGGTAGGGATGTAGTGGAGTCCATCACAAGTAAATCACAAGTCCAGTCACAAGTCCAGTCACAAGTAACAGTGGATGAACAGTAACAAATGGATTCCTTCGTCAAAGCTCATTTGAATAGCTCATGAGTTGAATAAGGATGGGGGGACTTGTGGTGGACTTGATTACATCCCGTGTTCTGGGTTCGAAGCCCATCCTGGGCCCAGTTTCAAAGAGCACCCATAAGGAAAAATCAGTGGTAGGATTCCAAACAGATACCGCCATAAAGCAAGCTCAAGAGTCGAATAAAGACAGCTTTTAAGTCAGTGGTTCTTGGTTGGAACCTCTTCAAGGGTCAAATTTTACAGCTCTTAAACACTCGTATTGCCAAAGGACAGGAAAGTTTCTGCCACATGTTTCGAACTGCTTATAATAGACTCTCCTTTGATTTATTTATTAGCATGTGGGCAATTCCAGCATGATGTAATGTCTGTGACAGAGCTTTTAAGAGCTCAGTGAATAAACCCGACAATTTATTTTTCAAATCTTACTGTGCACCATCCTCTAGTAATGGTCAAGGAGATTACAGACTAGTACTTTTGGATCATTTCTCTGAATCAGTGATTAGATATCATGGTTAATTGGCTCTGTCCTTGACATTACACTTCATTTCATAACCTTGGAAGTGAACATTTGACCTTACCGACTTCTTTAGAGAGCTCTATCACAGACGAGAAGACATTCGATGAGAAATCCACTCTGATGTCCACCAGCTGCATGTCTGGCATCTGGACTCGTAAAGTCTTGTGCATGGGTGTGAACTGCAGCTTGGCATCGGCCTGGACATGGCACTGGTCCAGTGTGGAACCAGTCCGCTTCAGCCATTGGTTCTTCTCTGACCACCAAATGGCGTGATCTGACCAATCTCTCTGCTCCTTCAAATCTGCAAGATAAAAATTTTTAAAAATTAATTTGGAGGGTAATAAATTATCCTTACTCACAGCAGAAGCTAAAATGCGAAGAACGCAGCTACAACGTGGTCGAGCTGTAAAGGCATGTAGAGGTGCCATAGGCAACCGTCATAAGACCCATATCTTATGAAGCACAGCCAGATCAAAAGTGTTGATTTTTGCAGAGGGAAGAAAACTGAAGAACCCGGAGAAAAACCCTCCATGGCACAGGAGAGAATCATCGAACAGCTCTACTCGCATACGACCCGAGCTGGGAATTGAAGCCGGGCCACAGCGGTAAGAGGCAAAACACGAATTACCGGGGTACCTTTACGCACCTTGGCATTTTTAATGGGAACCTCCTACAAAATCCATTCATCTTTCAAAACCCAATGACACATTATTTGATCTTAACATTCCAGGGCCATCAAATTCCATGAAAAGTCTAACAAAGTCCTCCAAAATCCCCCGATAGATTTTAAGGGATCTGGCAGGAAAAGGCTCAAACAAGACAACAGATTCAAGTGCCTTTGCTAAAAGCAGAAATGATGGATGTGTATGTATGTAGTTCAAATTAGGAAAATTTACCAACTGTATGAGTGAAAAGGACATGTGGAACCTTAGCCTGAATTTGGATGAAGCACGAATATGCCTGTACTCAGAAACTGCCATTTCAATATCTGCATCGATGCTGATATTTGGATATTGCTCCATTCCACCATGATCACACTGACACATTCAACTTCACAGCCCATCTGTTTGTTTGACATAAACCATCTGGTGACAGTTATGGCCAAGAGAGATCAAAGTAGCGGTTCCCTCTCCTGAGATGTCATTGAAACGCTGCCCTACAATGTTTTGGATTTCTACTGAAAATATCTCAAAAAAGTCACTCTAATTACGTTCCAGTTTGAACAACAAAAAGATGTTGCTTAGAGATATTTGATTACACATACAATAATTGGGTTTTTTTTAATATTTATATATTTGATAAACATTCCAGAGGAAATCCATCAACATAAACAAATTCCTTCATGGCCACTGTCATTTTCGCCTTCAAAGATTTCTCACCATCTGTAGGAACTACACAAATGCAGCCAAGTTTAACAAGGAAATAGAAATGTATCCGTTTTGTTAGTTCCTATTCCAACCTCAATCCTCCAAAGTCCTCCTGGCAGTTGTGGAGGATTTTGGAGGATTGAGGATGAATGCAACATACAATTTTGGAGGACTGAGGATGAATGCACATTCAGTACCGGTCGATTTTGGCGGATTGAGGATGAATGGTGTTTGAAGAAGAGGAGGATTTTGGAGGATTGAGGATGAATACACTTTGAGAGGCATGACTGTCACCACGGTCACTGTCAGACGATTTTGAAGGATTGAGGCAATGGCTAGCCTTCATTTGAACATAAGTGCACATTTTTGGAGGATTTTGGGGGATTTAGGATGGTTCCCAGCAAAAAGGGCCTAGGGGTTAGGGTTAAGCTTTATGGTTGTTAAAGATATAGTCCATCATTTGTAATTTGTGCATTTTGTTCGTTTGAAGCAACAAAAGTGCTCAAAATCTAAAGAAGGGTACTGAACAACTAACCTGAGGAAGTTTCAGCTCAGCTTCAGTTGTATATTCCGAGAACAACAGCATTCTAGGATCTCAATTTCAAATCAAAAGTTGCTGAATCATGTTTTGAATTGGGCCTGAATTCAGCGTCCAAGACACGTTCTCACTGAGCGGAATGCAGCTACGCGATGTCGCGCACTGATCCAACGAATTATAGCAACCGCGCGCGCGTGTGCGTCATGTCAACGCTTGCGCGCGCTTCGCCGAATACAAAAACGAACTAGTACTAACGGAAATTTCCAACGTTGCGTCTTAAGACGCACCGTTGGAAAGGCCTTCTTTCGTTGATTACTTCAAAATGACAGCTTGCCAGAAAGAATAATTTCACAGAGAGTTTAGTCCCCTTACTATCTTTCAACCAAGTATGTTTTTCAACAATAATTACGCCAGTTACTTTTCGGATAGCTGCAAATGATGGACTATAGCTTTAAATCCTTCCAATTACATGTAATTAAAGCATAGACATGAATTCGGTAATTGGCCAGGATTTGAAAGCCCGCCGCTCGCTTGACCCAACAAATTGTACTACATGTACTTTCTACTCAATTATCTGCTTTTTTACTGATCCCAGAGGGTCTTTGTACCTATCTCACAGACTCACTGACTTGAACCGGGCAGTGCTATTGTATAGAATTAGCCCGTTATGCCAATGAACAGGCTAAATCCGGACCATTGCGTAGACCACATGCATGAAGAGACTCCCAATTGGAGAACTGAAAAGTACATGCAAGAATTTGAGGCCATTCACCCCCGCAAACCTAAATGAATGATACAACACTCCACTCTTCATGTACATGTACATGTAGCTGCAACATTAAAAAAAACAACATGTTTTTTTGTAAGTCCCAGGCCAAGTTTATTTACAGAGCCCTGGTGATGACACCATCGTGCCTTGAAGCGGATCTCCTATCTTGAGCCTACCACTGCCCTGTCCAGCACATGTTTAGCCCCGGCGATATTTAATTAAGTACTCCATTATCCCTCGTGAGTCATAACATAACTCAAGGGCAACAGGCCTTTCAATCTTCAAACTATGGGTCACCCAAGAATCGGAAATCCGATTAGCGGCTTTTCTGTTGACCCTTTTCCTTTTTTCGGCGGGACAAAAAAGAAAAGAGAACAAAATCTGATTTAACCGGATTAAGACGGCAAAATTGTGTGCCGTGCATTTAAGGATAAATATTTAGGGTGAGGAGAGGACAGTGGTTGAGTTGTGTTAAGGCTCCCAGGCCCTTTAGAATGATTCACGAAGGAATCATCTTAGAAAGTACATTTGGCTGTGTGACAAATTTACCGGCACGGTACATTAATTTCTGCACATACTGAGTGCATTCTTAGGCGTGTGTGCTTTTGCAATTCGGCCGCAACAAATGGAAAATATGATTTCAAGCATGGTTGCTCCCAATATAAACCTGTGGTTAATCCATGTATTTTAAACAAGAACATGATGCAGTTGCATGTTTGCCTTCTGGACTTTTTGAAAGAAAACAATCAAGGCAACAATTTGTAAAAAGTGTTAAAAGGGTAGGCCTATTTAGTTATTTTTATTTTTTTGTGGGGGAGGAGAGGCTTGCTGTTTTCTTGCAGTTGGAGAACTCTCTCTGACGACCCTACAGTAAAATGGGTACCTGATTCGTTCAGGGGAGGTAAGACGGCAAGAGGAGAGGACTGGGCCCCGCCACACATATGCCCCGCCCAGGACACAGTGGACCTCTAACATCCCACTGCCCCTACTGCCAGTAATGGCTATGGGATCTTTACCTTTACCTTAAAGTGAGGAGCAGGAGGGTACTATGTTAGTCTGGTCAGCAGTGTTCCGAGCATTTTGGCATGGACACTGCACATATTATACATGTAAATGCTTTGTTTGTACAAAAGTTACAATTCTACATTTTGTGTCTGGGCCCAACATCGTCCTTTTCAGTTCATGCCAAGAGCCAATGAATGCCACTGTAATGGAAATTACACACGAGTCTATGGGAAGCGGCTGCAGCCACTTCACATAGACTTGTGTGTAAATGCAAGCCGTAGCCAAGTAATACGGACACGGCCTAACACTGATCTCTTAAGCCTCCATATTCCTACCAACTACAGACATTCTATTTATACACGTACCGGTAGTATGTACATGTATAAAAATGTACAATTAGTTAGCACTGAACAATATGCAGATATGCATAATTACCAAAATGATACAGAAAATATCCAACGTTACCAAAGAAAAACAGTGTGTGGAAAATTGTACACACACTTTAGCATTGTGGTGCCCTGAAACATGGCTGAGTGATCTCTGGACTCATGAAAGTATGGTTGTCTTTCATCGCTGGGTTTGAGTGCATTTCAATGTTGATGCAAGTAAAGTGTGTCTTGCACCTCCTTTCCGAAACTCTGTCATCAGAGGCCAGCAATTAGGGAAAGGAGGTACATGTACATCACAAGCGCAAAGGGAGTACATGTGTGTGTTAACCAATTGCTCATGCAAATTAGGCTGCTACGGTTGATTGCCCACTTTGCGGGGACTCGCCCGCGAAGTTGGCGACAGACGGCGAAGCCACCTCCCCCACATAGCGGGTCAGGTAAAGCCTCATTTAGAAAAATTTGTACTGAACACAGCATTACCTATTTCTGCATGCAAGCATGGCAAAAGGCATGGCAAAAGGCATGGCAAAAGGCATGGCAAAAGGCATGGCAAAAGGCATGGCAAAAGGCATGGCAAAAGGTTGTGGCAAGTGTTGATTTTATACTTGTGTGAAGACTATTAAATCTGGTGACCACAATATGAAGCCAATTCTGAGGGTAGTATTACTATTTGGCAAGAATACAAACATGAATGTAATTTTTGACATCACGCCAAGTATTCGCTTGGCAAATTTGCAAATCTTGAACACAAATTTTCATCTCTGGCAAATTTCAGTGTTGATGTTTCATGATGTTAAATACTCCTCACATCAGCAGTCATGTTCAGGCCTTCTCAGTGAAACTTGTTCATTGATTGGATCCCGTAACTCATTCTGTAACAAATTCAATGTAATGGACTACGTGCACAAGCACCCCCTCAATGGTTAAAACGGGGGAGTTTGGGGAAACCACTGGGAGGGCTTCAAACGTATTGCTGGCGGGCCCGGGCATACATGTACTTGGCGCCATAAGTGCGTGAACCAGCACGTCCACTGGGGCTCTCAAAGGTGGTAACAAAGCGCCCTCTAGTGTTCATGCATGAGTCCACAGTATCTATAGTCTGGTTCCCAGACCAACAAATTCTGACTAGTTCTGATGAATCTAAGGTCAGGTAGTTGCCACGGCACATGACCAAAATGGGAAAAATGCTTCCCATTTCCGAAAATGACCGAAGTTTGCCGAATGCATTTCGTT